TGGCACTGTACATTTGTTGTCATTGCTTAAAACACAAAAGGGGTCTATTAAATAGCTAGTAATAAGTGATTCAGAGAGTAGTGGTAAATGCGCCAAACGAATACGAGTTAAAGGGAGACGGAGGAAAACGATAGCAGGAAGTGATTAGGAGGCAGAAAAACTAGATACCAACTTCCTTATCAGGAAGTCTAGACTGTTGTTGAGCCTGGACGGGAGTGGAATTGGATGAGGGAGGAGGTACAAGAGGGCGTCCATTGTTAGGATCAAATGCTCCAGCCACAGGGAGAGGTCGGTTGGCCATACTGCTGTTGACAACAGAGGGAGGAGCCTGGGATTGGTTGGGGGGAAGGTAGCAGCCGGGCTGTCCTGGAGCGGGGCCTGCTGTGGGACAGCCAAAAGGACCTCGGCGACGGGGTAAGGTGGCACCAGCGGCTACAGTGGCTTGACTTAGACCGCCACCGCCATTGTTACCACCCATCGTTCCGTGCATTGGATTGGATGATGACACCGGCATTATGTTGTGCATGAAAACTAGATATAAAAGTAATATGGAATAGTCTAGCCATTGGTAAATAATAGGGATCTCTGGTAGTTAAAATGTGCTTGCAGTGTAGGCAGAGGCAGGTTACAACAGTGATAAACATTTGCAATAGTTTAGTTTAAGGAGCTTTTCTGCGACAAAAAAGCCTTTGATGACTCCACCCACCAGCTCATGGATCTAAGAAGAGACGGATGAATAACTTCGACGACTAAGCTATGCAATCTGGCGATGAGCAATTTCACCGGGAAAAAAATTAGATTAAAAACAAAGGCAAATTCCGAAACATTAACTACATTCTTTGTCGACAAGAGGCCAATTTAATGTCTCGAAAATTTAAGCTAAGCAAACTTATTCTGACGCTTCTAAATAAATAAAAAATATTAAAAAGCTAAGGCAGGTAACAATGAAGCTCACCAAATATTGATGGAAGATAGTCTCTTGACTTACTTGCTTGAGTTTTAAGCTAAAAGCTGAGAGTCACTCATCTCTGATTTTGTTTCTTTCAGCAGGTAATGCCCTCTAAATTCGAAATAGCGTGAGGAGAAGCGGCAAAATAGGCACAGCTAAGATAGGGGAAGCTAAATTGACGCAATTAACAGTACAAAGCGACCTTGCTATGGGAATAAAAGGCATGTTATATTGAGAGGCAATTACGTACCAGGACCACTTCGAAAGTGATGAATAAGTCCAACTAATCAACAACAGGCCCTAATAAGGGCACAAAATTGTGCAATACGTCGGGAAAAATAAATAAAAGCAATAAATCTACCACATTTCGAAAGAAAAAAAAGCTTAGAGCAATGGGCGCAATGGAATTCGACCTCTAACTAACAATATCAAATAGAGTTTACTCGAAGTATGAAAATATAAGACTGACTGGCACATAAAGATAGTTTCATCTTGAGTAACTTAGTTTGAACAAAACACCAATGAAAAAAGTTTGTCCTTCACACAACAAATATTCAATGAAATAGAGAGGGAGAGAGACATTCTATAACTCTGAGATGACTAGGCTCAAATTAATCAAATAAGAAGCCACAATGCAGCCTCTGAATAAAAAACTAACATTCTTTACTCACCACCGAAGAGGCGCACTCAGTAAACTGACTAGAATGAAGTCTTAGTTTAAGTTAGAGGGGTATTAGAAGTCCGATGAAAAAACTCGAATTAAAACAAAGCGCACACAAAGGTGTCATTTCAGTTGATTAGCTTGGTGGCGAAATAAACTGAAAAGCAGTGAATAAAATAAAATTTTCAACAATAGCTGGCGTGTGTTAAGTTAGAGCTCAAGTGTGAAGTGAGCGAAGCTATCTACTTACAAATGAAGGGAAGGGAAGGGGGAATGGTTACATCTAAGTGAAGGGAGATTTTCGGCCTATGGAAAAAAATCAATTATGTATTTGAGCACATTAAGGGATGCAAATAGATCTGTTATATTTAAGAGTAACGTTACTGAGAGGGGAGATTCAATGGGCATACAATACGGAAGGGCTAGTTATAATAGGAAGAGTAGGCTTCCTACTACTACGTGATATGCAGTTCTGGACTATAATTTCTAGAATTTTTCATGGCAAGATGACAATAGTTCGTATAAAACAGGTATTGTATAACAGACAAATCTTATCCAATTTACCCCGGATGTAAAACAGAAATTCATTTACCAGAAGGCCATGGGGGAACAATTTTCTGCCTAAAACACACAATCCCAAACAGTGGAAAAGCGCAGCTGTTCACCTTCACAAAGTGAAAATTAATTGTACACAGCCAGTTAAAGGTATACACATCAATGAGAAAGACCAAGGCACGACCTCCACTGACTAGATGTAGCATAATTATGATAGAAAAAAATCTTTTGGGAAATCGAGTACAAACCTTTGTCCTATCACTTTAATTCTGTCCCCCCCCTCGACTTTTTGTCACTTTGATTTCTCTCTTCCCTGTAAGGCCAGAAGTCAAGTAAAGGGCTGATGATAACTATCAAAACGCCTGCCGTTTGAAATAAATAAAATCTGAGATGTACCAATTTGTAAGTTTACGGAAACCAATGCATTATTTTTGAAGCATTTAGGCTTTACGAAACAACTAGCGGTAATAAACTAAATTACCAGTCAGTGCCTGTTAAATATCTATTAATTTCAAATCGCTTAAAGTGAGATTTCTGAAAACCAATCAGAATTGTTGCTACTGTTTCGATAAATAGTCTTAACAAATATTCTTAAGTGGCAGTAATAGGCCTGTGAATGCATTTAACACTAAAGTGCAATGACTCATTGAAATTCGAGAAATAAGGCCATTTATGTGAGGAATACTTCCACATTAACGCTCCATCAGAGCCTCATAGCAACTAAGACGGTCACAATACAAGAAAGTGAAACCACTTCAAAAACAAATTCTATTAGCTCGAATGTGAAAAAATGCATTGATTACTGTGTTTATTTCAAAAGCATAGACTTCCGAGTTTGGAGTTTAGTAAGAAGTGATCACACAATGAGCTACAAACTCACCAGGTGCGAACCCTCCAGCCATCATACCCTGAGGATTTGGTGGGGGCATGCCAGGACTTCCTGCCACAGCAGCCGGGGCGCCCCGGTAACCCATAGCAGCGGCCGCAGCCACTTGCTGCTGTTGGACCTGTTGCTGGTAAGCGGCCACAGCAGCCTGGTGATGTTTAGGTGTCATGGCCGATGATGATGGCGGCGGCACAGATTGAGGAGCCTGTTGTTGCTGAACAGACGTTGTTTGGTGTTGTTGCTTGCTCAATTGCTGCTGCTGTTGCTGATGCATTGCAGAGAAGTGATTTATGGTGGGCGCAGGGACAGCTTGACGGGGACAGCCGTTGCGAGCGAGAAAATTGGCGCAATCGAAGTGATAGGAGCAGTGTGCGTAGTAAAAGGCGTTACGTCCTTCGGAATCAACTACTGTGGGATCGCCGTTGTACTGAAAAGGTATAAAATGGTGTCATGAAGATTAGTCCTGTGCAAAATAGTCTGGGCACGTATGATTGCAAATATTTAAAGATGTGTGCACAACCACATTTATCAACTAGTAATGAGAGATTTTAACAGAGACTAACATGAATAGGAAAATTTGAATGTCTGCCAAACTAAAGCCTCTTGGTATTGCAATGCGTTTGTGAATATTCATTATGTGGACTTAAGCAAGCTAACGATGGGAACAAAAAATGAGCTTCTCAATACACAAGGTCTTCACTTAGTCAAATAATCGGAGGCCACCAAAGGTCCACTAATATTATACCCTGGGAAGGGGGGGGGTATATATAAGCCGAGAGTAACAAGCTTCATCATGCTTTCGGGAAGCCAGTCAACCACAATTGTAAAACATAAAAATATTTCGAATAGGTCGATTTGCCACCACTAGTGCACAGCTCTCGGGGTAAAAAGAGGATCTAAATCATTTCCAAGGTTAAAAAAGCATCTGATTAGATTCCTCCATTATTTCCGACTTTTCACGTCAATGCAAATACCACAAACCAAATATGCAATACTAGTGCTGAAATTGGTGTGACTCTACAAATATTCATTTCACACGAGCTTTAATGGTTTGTGGTATTCGAGGTCTCACGGTGGTAAAACACGATGAACCCTCAACGAGACGCAGTGACTTGAGTATAGTTAACTTCCACTAGAGTAAATTGTACCTTCTTTACCTTGAAAATAATCCAGTCACTGCGTGTTCTCTCTAGGGTCTTTGTAGGGAATCATCAATACGTAAGACTTGAAGTATTGAAATGGCTAATATATACTTTATTGATTGGTTTAAAACGGCTCTATCATCCTCTAGTTACAAACTAATAACAACAAAAGCAAATAGACAAATAAGTAAGCAAGATTACCCAAAGTAATAATTGAAGGTAAACAAGATTTCCAAGCGTGGCAGCAATGTGGATGGCAGCCCGGGGATCTTGACGTGAGTATGGTGCATTGACGGTGTCCGGGGTGGCACGAGCTAGACAGAGAATGACCTGACGAGTGTCCTGTCGTGCGATAGCATCGATTAATTGTTGCTGTAGGGGCGCTTCTGGATAGGGAAGTGGTGGAAGGAATTCACGATGCTCATATTTGGACCGTATCCACGACTCCATTTCCTCTTTGGAGCTGCGTGAGTCTGGCTTCCTGAAGGCAATAAGCATATCAAGATTCAAAAAGTATATATTCTACACTATGAAAAGGTTCCTAACTGACTAGTGCAATAAAATAGTCAAACAATTTTAGTAACTGTAAAACAGTTAAACATTATTTGAGAAGTTACGCTCGATGATATGATTAAGATAAAGCAAATTAAGAAGTTGTGGAAGCACCTTGTATAGCTGGGTTATAACGACAAAAAATTATATAAAGTCCATTAATGTTAGTGATGGCCAATTCTCAAGTTAATTGAAGCTCCAAGCAGAAAAAAATAAATATTTACCTTAAGTTTGTATTTTTTGAAGCGTTGAAAGCTAGTTCAAATTGCACTCATTTTCACATGAATTAATCAGCCTCTTAAGGTAGAGAAAAAACATCATCCACTGTTGTTTATCATTTCAAGAACTATTAATCTGCCAAATAAGCATTGTCATACAAACGTGCATGAGAAGAAAAAATAATAAATTACAGATTCAAAATGAACAAAGTTTTGAAAAAAGGATTTACTTTAAGATTAGAATCTTCATATTATAGATCATTGCATTCTTAAGATGCTTTATTGATCGCCACGGTCCGTTATTGCTAATTACGAAACAGAAAATTTAGAATTTTAGTGTCGTTAAAAGAACTGTTCATTTTAATTTGAATTATGGGCGATCTTTAAATCATTGACAGGAAGTTGCACATATTTATGCCAAAGAAGAATTAGTTTAATTGCCTGCCTTAAAGTCTTACTGTTTCACCAAAATGCCAATAGGGAATAGGCACTCCCACAGGTGAAAGGCTGCCAACGACCAGACTAATTTGAGTGACTCATTAACACCATACGCAGTGCCTGTGTGCGTGTGTGTGTGAGAGTTTGCATGTAAATGTGCACAATACAGTGTACATTGGTATTTTCAGATGCAAGAGACGTGGGATAGCCAGCGCTCCCAATTAGACTTATGACGTTGCACAGCGCGAGCCCTGGAAAGTGAGGTAATTAAAAAAGATTGGAGGTTGATTTGGACTATTTAGTTGTAAAAGCAACTATCTTAAACATGCTGGTCTTATTGCACAATACAATAACTTCAACTATATCAGGGTATGAGCACTATTTAAAGGTTATAGACAAATAACCTCATAGCTTCATAATAGTACTCTCGTGAAACCTGATGACTGAAAAACATCTTGTCGGACAAAAAAGGGTGAGAAAGCCCTTAGATATGCAACTGTGATCATTATTTTCTGCTCTCATGTCAGCATTCAAGTTGAAGCTTGAAAAGAATGTGACAGCAGATCCCCCCCTTTCGACCTTCAGCCTATTAGAAATGGAAAGCTAAACATCTCCCAGTTGAACAAATAAATAAACCTTCAGGGAGAATCCCCAAATTACCCTGCATAAAACAAATAAGTGCACAGCCTCACTTCCAAAGACAAAGGAAATAAGAGTACTTTGAGTTTCTAGCCTACCGAATGCACTATTTCTCTCAAACTACTTATTTTAATAATCATCATAAAAGACATTGTTTCGTAATAAACAAAACAAAATTGGCGGGGGGGGGGAGGGAAGCTATGAGCAATCGAATTGGGTAGATGGCGGGTGTCCTGGAGGCGGTGTTACGAGAAATTCTTGTTAACTAGAATTAACCAGGACGGTTAGCTGCCCAAGTCGCTGAATGTTTACTAATGGAATAAGTCTTTAAGAGCTCAATTCATAATTAGTTCTCTAGTATTTTGCCTTCTTGAGAGCAAAAAAAAACATCTATAAAAGAGCGTCTACCAAAATAACAACCAAGATTATTGAAGATGTTTACAGGCTATACAATTTATTAAATAAAGAGAGCGATAACTTTAAGGATAGTAAAATGAAAACGATAGCTATACAAATCCATTTTGTTTATTCCAATTCGAATAGTGTTTACCCCAGAAATAGCATACAATTCCTAACGATAGTAATTTAACGAGGTTAAATGTAAATAGACAGTGCGTTAGCTCTTGCTTAAAGAATGCATTCTCTATAGAATTCACTTTAAAAGAAATAAGTAGTATTTACCTTGTCGACTTAACCATTATTTTGAATATTGCAGATCCAACGAATGTTCAGCACTTAAGAAGTACTTAAATTATGACTTGATTCACAAATGGATTGTAACATAATCTTTGGAAAGTTAATCATATCTAATGTTGAAGAAATTAGATCAATTCCTAATCTATAACTTGAAGGCACTAGATATCGAATATTTATGCACAATCTAATCTAAAGCTTCAGAGGGCCAAACTACTAACCCACTAATTATATAGGAGTGGGGGGGGGGGATATTTACTGAATAAACCGACCATTTTATTCGACCATTTCTTAACTAAGTCCTCTAACATTCCATTAAAGTGTTCTATGGCATTGCGTATAATTGCAAGACCACACATGGAAAAAACTCTCATACGCAGGTTTCTACTTTTCGAGAGCTATAAATTGTAGGAGGAATGACTAAAAAATAAATAACCTAAAACTTTTAAGAACATATAAAACGTTGTCTAGGTTCAACAATAGACATCCTCTCCTGATATGCGAAGAAAGTTACTTACGAACCAATTACGCAGCAAAAAGAAAAAAAAAACAGGAAAGCAAACAGATCTGCCTTTGTTATTAAATTACACTAAATTTTGTTCGACCAGAGGTAAGATTATCGCATTTCCATCATATTGATGACATAAGGAGAGCAGAAGAGAGATAAAAGCAATACGATTTCCCCTACACGATTCAACCAAAATTACTGGCGCGTTTTCAGTACTTAGTGAGGTAAGATTAGTAATTCAACATATTGGTCATTTTTCATGGGCCTAGATTTGTGGATAAACAAGGCTCACTGCCGGATAGACTTTATGAGGGTGGGGGGGGGGGGGGGGGGGGAAAAGAAAAAAANTCAAAAGAAGTTTAAAACACTTAACTAGGACAGCTGATAGCGTCAAACAACTGTGCTAGTACCAAAACGAGTTTCAGATTTATTTCCAAGTTTGGAATCATTAGCTGTAAAATACAGATTGTAGACTCGTAAAATTTGACGCGCAGTAGGCCAACCAGAAAACGGGCTTTCAGAAAAGCAAGAAAAAGAAAATAAAGATGACTTTAGGAAAATGAAATTGTCACCAGAATTAAGGTAGTAAAATATGTTGTCCAAAAGGTGGATGAAGTGAAACTATGCAAGGAAAAACAGAGGAGAAGTGTGATGATGGACAGCAAACAAGCTTTTGCTTTTACAAAACTATAAAACTTTCCACTTACTATGGATTTAAACACTTTCACTTTCACCTCTTAACTGCAATAAATACTTCGGCATGCTACTTAGAAAGGCTAGCAACAAGCTAATAAAAAGGGAATTTAGTCACGCAAGTAAAAATACCCTCCAACAATAAACATGAAGTGAGAAGTCATCTACGTATATTGCCTCATACGTTGAAAAATTACTAAACCAAATACCCCTAAATACGGTTCATAGAAGTTGTAAATTAATAAAATCCATGGAATTACTCCCAAAAGGCCTTTTACCCCGATATCTATAAAACAACAGCTCTGACAAGCCATGAGCACAGGTAGCACGAGTTGACAGAGCTAACAGAGGATCGAACAAGGGTAATAGTTTAGCTTTGATTAAATGCCACATTAGTATCAGTTTTTATACTGGAATGTAATTATCAGGTTACAACAGATTACCCAAAGCACCTCAATAATGCTTTTAGAAACAGAACTTCGACTCTAAATGCTGGAGTAATATTATTTAAGAAAGCGAACTGATATACTTCAGCCACACATCAATGCTACACTGCAAGTGGTAGAGATTTTATGGTTGATCGTACAATAAGTGATCGATTTGAGCAGGGTAATTCAATGGTTTGTACGAAAAACATTTGAAATAAATATCATTCCAAAAGCCTTACCGAAAATCGATACTATCTACAAAGTTTCCCTAGCAAAGAAAGATAACCCAGAGGCTAAAATCTCATCAATACATGACCACACTGACCTAAATTGCTTCAAAACCAACGAAATTGAAAAGAAACAAGTAAATTCAATAAAGACAAGGGAATAACAAACTATCGACTACTTTTAGCTAAACTATGGAGAAGCAAAATATTTCTAACTAGAATTCTAATAAAGGCGAAACAATGAACCATTCAATAGTAACACACACCTTCGACTGGCCGCGTTACCAGGTACTGCAGCTTCCCAGACAGAGTTGGCCAGAGTGTTGCCAATGGCACGCATAACAGCAGCTGCTTCTGGTGTCCAATCGTCTAACATGAGGGAACGAATTCGAGAGATGTGGGTACCGAGACGACGATGAACTCCACTGCACTCTATACACACCATTTCTCCTAAATTCAGACTTGCCCAATCCGGATCTGCAAGTGAAGATGATCATTAATAGTAAAAGAATTGAACAAAGGGAAAAACTATACCAAGCTTTATGGAAGGAAGGCTACGAAAGCCAATCATAAAATACGACCAAGATTTTCTTGTAATTAATCCGAGTATCACATTTCAAGGTGGGTAAAAGCAAACATGTGGCGTCGAAATAGATCCCCGAATAGTAAAAGCAAGTTTTTCGTTCCGATTGAGCCCGAAAATATTAAGAAAACACATACTCCTAGTAAATTCAAAATACGCTATTGTAATATTTTTAAGATGCAGTTTAAGCTATATTGAAAGGGAGCGTTTGGCAAAATTTATATTGAATGAAAACGTGTCATTTCGGAAGCATTTGATGTGCAACTCGAACACAGACACTCATGGCATTGATCAGCTTAAAGCTGCGAGATAAGCCACCGCGAATAAGAAATAAACATAAACTAACTTCAAACATGCTGTTTGCACCTACTGGTTATTTTTAGGGACTTTAATGTCCAAGTTAACTGTTTTCAGGTAACACATCTTCTAGTAAAAACACTACTTCTCTACCTTTGTCAGTTGCGACAGGAGATACACACGCACGCACACACATAACTGCAAAACTTGATTATTACATCGTTAATAGCCACAATTACCTCTACTACGAATATCGATCGCACACACGCACGCACAAAAATGCGACACCGATGACGATGAAATGGACATCCGTTGGTATCCTTTCAAGGGGTGTCTCTCTCTCTCTCTCGTCCCTCTAAGCTTCCTTCTTTCGTCTAATGCTACCAGTTTGCCAACTTACATATTTAGCCAAAAGCCAAACGAAATATGTCAATTAGAAAAGTAGGGAAGACATTGAAGGAGAAATGATGAACAGATACCTCATGTTTTTGAGAAAATACAAGCCTGCACGCCAGGCTATTGGAATACTGATTTAATGGGATGGATATGACTTGCCTCCTCAATCAATCTACTGGTAAATTGAATCCGAATACTATGGACTAGGTAAAAAACAATCTTATAATTTATAGATCAAATGTTTTCTGCCAGGAATGGGGAGGTCTGACCTTGAAGCTTGAGCTTCAGTTCGTCAATCCACCTGTAAAACTGGTTTGGACTAACCTAATACGCCACCAAGAGTAAATGTTGAAAAGAAAAAAATCAAGCATATGAAAAACTTGCGCCCATAAAATCCGCAATATACAATTGAAAATTATTCCCAAACAAACTTAATTATCTTCAACTAAACTGAGAACTACTCGATAGTGCCAGTTTTAGGCCTTGATAGACAGTAATTAGACAATTATGGATAATTTTCAGAATATTAAAGGGAAAAGGTGGAGTAATAACTATAACTAAATTGTTAATTTAAAAGCTTATTTTCTGCTTTTCTTTTAGGGCACACACAGACGCAGGTTCTGTTAACTGTATTCTAAAACTTTTTTCCCAAAAGGAACGGGATAAGGAACTTGATTAGTCAAAGCAAACAAGGAATAGAATTGCCTAGGAAAAGACAGAGAAGTCGATAATAGAGTAGCATTAATAAACACATTATTTACATTTCAGGAATGATTTTGATTATAATATCTCCTCGATCAGGACTGATAAGCTAAGCAGTCTACTTGATCAATCTCAAAAGGTAAAGTGGAAAAAGGAAAAATGTCTCCTTTTCATTACCGTAGGAGAAAAAATGGAAGCAAAAACAACAAAAGCCAAAATTAACATCAATTCCACCAGTAAAGCTCGCAAATAATTATCAGCATAATTAAGGAAGGAAACCAGCATTATATACAAGTTTAACAAATGGTTAATGTCTTTTACTAGTAACGGGATTAAATATGACCTTGGTAGGTGAAAATAAAGTGCTGCTAGCCTCGTCTATCTGCTTATGGCTGTTCGAAAACATAAATTGAGACGCGCTTTACATTTTTAAAAGTGATTTGCAAGTAAATGTAAACAGATTAATGTGAGCGCAGAACTTAGCTGGAATGACAAAATGGAATAAAATTCCAGGTTCGAAAGGATTTCAAAGAGACCCTTTCGACAACACTACTATGATCTTGATAATCCCCCTTAAGTAAATTATTTCGATTGTACAATCCGCAAGCAATCGCTTGCAAGCATTAGCTCAACGAAAAGGAGAGAAGTAAAGGAACTAGAAAATGTGAAAGAATTCCCACTTACCAGGAGCACCACAATCAGCGCAAGCATCATTTCCTGACACCGCCCTCAGCGATTTGGCCATCGCTTCATCTACTCGCATATTATCTCCCCTCTCACCATCCTTCACACCCGGATCAGAGCCGGTAGTTCCAGAGCCGGGTATAGAGGGACCCCAACTATTTGAAGGCATATCCGACTCTGCTCCACCACCATGAGCTGCTGATCCCGAGTAAAATCCACCCTCTGGGCGCTTATTACTAGAGTCAAGGAGTTGTAGACGTGTGATAATGGCCTGGTCAATGTGGGAGACCCAGTCGTCACGATCCTCGGAGCTATGTGCCTCGAAGTTCCATTGGCGGTCCATGGAGATTAGCTGAAATTCGTAACCCTCAGATTCTGTGGAAAGGAAAGATGAAACACGAATTTTCATAATTCGGTGGCATAGAAAAGGATAGCTCAAACTATTACAATGCCAGTGACTAGTCCGCCGTATGGACTCAAATACCACCTAAATTAACGAGTAGTGAACAGCGAATTGTCATTATACCCTAAGTAAAATTCTATTATTGCCTATTCCTTAACGAACCAATGGCTTAATAGAAACGACTAATAATATTACGAAACTACCATCATCCAAAAAATAACAAAATTACCGTAAAAATAGGGGCAGCTATTTAATTAAACGCAAATAACTTAGAAGCACTGAAACAAGTATGCGGTGACCTCCTAACGCAAACCTGATTAAGTGAAAATAATATCCCTCTGCTATTTTCTTATACCCTAGCGTCAATATATTTAACTCAGCTGTTGCTGTGGAGCCAAGTCGTAAATCGTCACTACGAAATGTGATGAGTCTCGATTCCTAAGAAATCAAATTACAGCCAGCATGAATCGTCATGAATGGCATTTTGAGACACATGTCCAACTACTTTTTAAACTTTCCTTGCATTTTCAAATTGTCCTCTGTCTCAACCCTTTTTAACGAGTTAAACAAATCTTCAATTTAGGTTCGATTTTAGCACATTTTTTTCGCTCGTAAGGTAAACATCACCATCCCAACACTACGCAATCAGAATAGCGCTAAAAATAAGAACAAATTTTGCTAATCAAGAGTCTTGCTCTTAGTGATCCTCTTCAGTTGATCTCTCACTCAAAGATTCGGCCTTTAGATTTGGGAGAGGTGTAGTCGTAAGGAGATTTACCTAAGCCTAATAAGGTCGAGCCCCTATAAATCCGGTGACTTAGACCAAAAGCACAAGTAACAGCTAAATACATACCTACCTTATCCAAATATATACCAAATGCAATATGATTTGCAGTCATAAATGGGCCTGAGTGTATTGAAGTAAAACTTCAAAGCTTTAATATATGACCAACCACAAATGCGACGTAATTCATGCCACAAAGTCTCGTTTAAAGAGGCATATTTTAGACAAACCAGGAGCCTCAATCCCTATGTTAAAGCATTATTTGACTAAGCCAATCAATATTAACCAATCAAATCTCGAGCTAAACTCACGAAATAAAAAGGAAATTAAATTGGAACTGGGAAATAAAAATGAGATATAACTGAAGTCTGAACACAATGGGAGAAAATTTAGTGCGCGAAATTAATTCTACTAGCACGATATGCACCTATTATTTTTCATTCGTGATGGTAACTATTGGTGAAATCTCCTTAAAATATACACTTTATCAATCAAGTGACAATGTGGAGCTATTATGAAGCTAAAAAACATAATGTATTCAATTTTCTGAAACTGACAAGATTATAAGTAGTTGAATATTGTAGAATCGGTAGAGCCTTATATATTTAAACCCTAGATAACTAATAGAACCACTTGTTATAGAGTGCATCTGTAGTTGTAAACTCGAATTCTTTCTATTTAGTTAAGCTGTCATGACAAATTTCGCCTTTCTGAAGCTTCAAAAACATGCCTAAACTTGACATGATTTCACATTAACACTATTAAATTCCAGGCGAAAAAAATGAAGCCAAATAATGTCGTTTAAGCCGTAACTAAATTTTTACTAAGACGTACCACCCCGGGGACTGAATCGAACAAATGCAACGAAATTTCGGTAATCTAAAGATCTGTGGGTCCGACGACTATTACAAAACCAGACCTCCCAAATGTCAGTTGCATATCTACTCTAATGCACAAGAACTACAAAAGACAGTACAAGTCTGACAGACATGTTTGTTCAACTGCCACTAACACAACTTACCATAACCATCTGTGGTACCAGACTTCTGCGCATTCTTCACTCGTCGGTAGCGTTTTTTGGCATCCTTCACAGGCTGTTGGGAATTGCTGAACCGATTGCCTACAATAAATGATGTTCACCATTATAACGTCGATTGAAAGAGACGAAAAACTTTAACGATCATCAAAACAACTAGCTCTAATAGCGTGATAATAATAATAATAACCACCGATAATTACCTACTATCTTTGTTAGATAACGTGCTGGAGAGGTAATAAAATATGATAAAACTTGAAAATGAAAAGTAGGAAATATGAAACCTACATGGATCATTGCCGGAGACTGAGGGGTCAATTGAAGTGGTATCCATCGAACCACCGACCTTATCTAGAAAGAGAAAAAGAAAGATGGAAAACTGATTTATGCAAAAAAGGACAAAACTTTGATGGTGATGATTAATCTAAAGCGAGGAGCGAATGAGTTAGTCGGTTTTCTCTGTAGCAGTAGCATAAGAAACGTAAGATAGGGCGATTAATCTTAGACAGAGAGGTCAACAAGCATGTTTGATGTGAGAGCTAAAACTTAGGACGCCACCAATTAGTCTTTTTTACCTCATCTTCTGGAGTTCTGTATATTAATACACATACACTCACATACACACATTGAAAATGACAAATTTTGCGAAATTTAGCAATCACAACAGAAGTATTACTGATCGCTTACCTTCAGCTGTGTTAGCATTGCGGGAACCATTAGTACTGTTTGGAGCCTGACCACCAGTCTGACGAAATATAACACCAGGAATCTTGATGGTGACCCTGCTCAAATCGATCTCCTTACCGTGAGTGTTTTGAACGTAGTCCTAAAGGTAGAATAGGGAGAATCATAAGCATGTGGACAGATATTTGAGTGCAGCATGTGACCAAGCATTTCCACGTACACTGTAGGTTCGGGCATATGGCTGGGCTAGGCTGAAAATGCTGAGTCATCTCACTTAGGGACATACGCGTCTAAAAGCCTACTTCCCTGTCTATCTACTACAACGCACACCCACCCACACGCACATACACTCAAGCAATCCACGCAAATAAAATTGGTGTGCAGCAGCATTAGACACTAACGCTAAGAAATAACTTACTTGAATACTAGGATGATAGATTAGACGAGAGTCGTCTGTAAGCGCTACGTATTTCTTTGTCTTCCATTCCTTGTTCAGGGGTTTGCATGTTCTCTTGTAGAGATAACCCTGTAGGAAACCGCAAAACCAGTTTATAGAGGAATTAAGTCAAAATTGTAACTGACTGAATAAAAAAAGGTCATAGCACACCTGTTTAACAGGAATTGATCTGCCACTTCCAATGCCATCAATCACTTTCTTTTCCTTCTCTCGGGTGTCGTCAGTTTTCCTCTGAAAATTAAAAAATAAAAAAGATGTGTTATGAATATTCTAAAAGGCATTGAAGCTCTCCTCTGGGTTGATTAAAAGGCCATTTTACGACAATGGGTACGAAACACTTATAAAACAGAAAAGGCTTCTCGATACAATCAATAAAGCTAAACGATAGGTTAGAGTGCGCGAAGTCATAGTCACTCCAATTTTCTCTAAACTTTCTAAGTAATTAAAGCCAGTGTAAAGGTGATTTCCAAGATAACACTCGAGACCAGTTACCTAATATGGATAAATGGAAGTATTTTTCGCTTAAATGAGAAAAATCATTGGGCTAAAATCGAATTAAGATCGGGCTTAATGAAAACTTATTAGATAAATACTGAGAAAATTACTATTTATGACAACCAAAATAATAATGCATTACTCCCATTTAATTATTGAGCTTAGTTAAGGTATACGTTGATAACAAGCTTCAAATTCCAGCCACTATCTAAAACACCAAACTCGAAAGTCCTCAAACCAACAACCTGACCAATATCTCTACATACTCTAAGTGGAGATATTTTATAAAAAGCGGCGGGAAGGGTGGGGTGGGGGGAGGGACTTACAAATAGATTCGACTTGGGCCTCGTTTTCCTCGACTGTGTAGGAGTACTGCTGGGAGTAAGCGAGTCCTTAGTTTCTCCACGAGGCTCCTGAAATAAATAATAGAATGAATATGATTTGAAGTTTCTCGATGCTTTTGGTGCATTGCATTGCCAATACTGTGAAAAAAGCTGGAGGTAGGTATTTATGAGAATAGTAGTAGTATTACTGAATAAACGCACCAGTAGTACATAGGTAGGCAACACGAAACACGGCATAAATAGACGGAGGAGGAGGAGGAGGAGAAATATAGACACGTGTATGCAAAGTGAATGGCTCCGATCAAATGCGATTAGGCACATGAGAGGTCATCTTGACCGCCTACTCTATTTCCCATATGTGCGTGATTGGATGAATTGAGAGAAACATGAGCCATATCGGTGAGTGGGGACAGGCGAAGGGAGGGAGGGAGGGGGGGGGGGGAACAAAGTGTGTATAAATCAAACATACCAGCGAATGAGAAATCGAATCTTTCTCATCCCATGAGTAACACCGGACATTCCCTATTTAAATGTACTATTTATAAGTAAAATAGGCAGTTAGGCAGCAACGAAAATGACCAATATTTTTAATCACCACATCGAATGCAAAAGTGGAGGAGCGAGAGAAGATGACCTTTGAGGGGCATGTTTTATGCTTAGGCAACACCTGTTTCCGGCTGGAGCATACACGCATTTGATAAGGCACATTTTACATTCTTATAGAAGTTCATTACGCTTTAATCGACCCTGAATTCCGAAAACAATGGAACAAAAACCGCGAAGGTAATAGATGAAGCCAGAGGAATTCGGAATGGATATAAGAAAAAGAGAAAGGTGCCAAAAGTAAGCTTTAAAATACTGACCGCTGAATCAATTATTTGCTCCCACAGAAGCTCATCTCTTTATCCTATGAAAAAACAAGATGACAAAACCGACCAATAAATTTAAATAACAACTCAGTAAGCACGCGATATGGTGTGGCAGTGCTCAGTAACTCAGTATTTTCTACAAATTGCTCTTTATTGAACTTTGTTATTACTCAATTTCACGGTGACAAATTGTGAAATACTCGCACCTTGCAAGATTTCATAAAACAAAAAAATTGATTAACCGTCTAAATGTAAAACGTGAGACTGATCAATTTTACAAAAGTTTGTTACTTATTATTTAGTCAGAGTTAAGACCTTGAAAAAGCGACTTTGCTCACAGCCCAAAATTAAGAAACGGAATTATTTGTTCCCAAAGTACATAACGAAAAAACCGCCACTCGAAGCAATCCAATGACAATATTGACTAAATCATACCAAATAACTCTATGAGATCTCAAACCAACCACGACTGTTATTATAATTGAATGGAAAATAAGTTTAGCTACGATGATAATAATGGCGAAAAATTGTGACCACACCAAGGGATCAATGCATTCTCCAGTCCCATTCAAGGGGACGCAAATATTTGACTTGAGTAGATGGGAGGAAACCTGGACTTGCCCTTGTGAGAAACTCGCACTCTGCAAACCGTCTAGCTGACGAGAGTAAACTAGTACGATTAGCCATGAACGTCAATAGATGTACATCAATCTAGTGAAGAGACCAAAAAAGACAATCACGCGATCAGTGCAAGAGTCAGTAATTTTTTTTGGTACTGGCAAAATGGTGTTATAAAATAGTTGACTGGTAAGCTTAATAAACCGTAAAACAACAAAACGTTAGAAAGCACACAAAAAACAACAACAGAGCATAGAAAATTCACCGGTGGAAAGGTGAGATTGTATGTGTATTTGGGTAATTTTACCTATAAATAAGAAAAATTCTTAAATGCACACAATAAGAAGTTAAAAAAAGAATACAAATAACTACAAAATTGGGAGATAGTAATCAAACACGTGGGATCACATTTCTTCATAGCGGGTGAGCCAAAGTGTACCAAAATCAGCCATAATATTATTTTGCGCAGTGTTAGGAGTAAAAAATCAAACTCTATCTTTTTAAATACAAATGGTTAACTGTGTGAGAGAGAGCTGTCTCAAGCCTGTGTTTGAGGAGGTGCATACACAAACAGAGGAGGTTAAAGGAGGAGGAAAAAAGACAGAGAGCAAACCCTTTTGGGAATGCAAAGGTATTTCCTGTAACCTTGCTGCATCCTCCGTCGCCCCTTCTAGATACAAGATGGTATACACAGAGATAGTCAATAAAAGTAGACGTATGTCTTGTGATTAAATAGACTAGTAGCAATATGGAATAAAAGCTCCGTAGGTGGCACGGATTACTCTAGTGATAAATGAGAGCCTATCGATCAATGAGACTACAGTGGATCGACTCAAACCAAGGTATAAGACAACTGTGGCTTTCAGACACTTAGTATTTGGCCACCTGATAAGACATAAGTATTATTGATTTCCCAGTCAAAAAATGCAAATGACACTACACTAAGGCGTGACCTTGTCAAGAAATGTTCTGTTTGTAGAAGAATATTTAAGTGAGACATTTTAAACCACAATGAATTGAAAATACAAATCATTCACCTCTAAAAGAGTTAAGCTTTGGAAATATTCCTCTACATTAAATTGCCCACGCAAAATGTCAACATGTTTTAAACTTCTTCATACCGTAATTGAAATTTCAAAAAAAGAGACACAAAGAAGAACGAACGAAGATGTAAAAATAAGCACACCATTGATGTACAAGCGTGCACTGAGCCGAAGAAGGAGCCAGTTTGTTGCCAAACAGACCTAGCTCTAACACTGCAATTAAAGTAAACTCTAGTTGAGAAAAAAAGATGTTGTTAGGACACACACAGCATGTGGTCACTAATGCACGAACGCGCTTCATGCAGCCAAACAAATACAATGCCGCAACTCCCGCGTGTTTTCCATCAAACAATCGGCTCTAATTGCTACTACTAGTATCACTCGATATGCAAAACATGCGATACTACGTGAGAAACTCATTCTAACTCATGCAAAAGGGAATGCTCTTACATTATCAGGGACACTGGGAGACATGCGATTTTCATGGTGAGTATTGAGTGTAGGCCACTCTGTAGCCACAGCATCTATATCATTTCTATCCAAATGTGTCCCTCTAAGGTCCGTGAAGGAAGAGTTGCTAGTAGCGTACCACTGTGTCAAACCGGAGCCATCTTGGGTTCCGGCATTGCCAAAAAGATGTGTTACCTCGGGGACAACAAATGGGTAGACACCCCAATAAGTGTCTTGTGGAAGTAAAGTACAATGCGATTGGGGATAGACAGGGGATTCAGGCGGTGCTAAGACCACAGGGGTTATGACGCGGGGCATGGTACCAATGATAGGCGCCTCATTTGACACCAATAATGGCTGGGTAAAAGAGCATGGTCGACAAACTGTAGTGCTTTTTTGCGCGTTCTGATCTCATATACATGACCACAATGAAAATTAGAACAAAATATGCGCGCCAAGCAATGCGCCAACCAAAATAAGAAAAAATCACAAAATCGAAGGAGAGGAAATAAAAAAGAGTAATTGAGTCAGCTTTAAAGCAAAAAACCTTACTCATTGATAAAGCAGCAAGAAAATGACTTACATCACCGAAATCGGGTTCAAAACCGGGGTTATTATGCATATCAGCACGTCGCGAATCATTTGATTGAGAAGTGAGAACACTGCCACTTGTGGATGTATTGATACTTCCATTGGTGCTGTTGTCAACTGGTAAAGGAGGAAGTCGGTGCTGATAACTGCCTCCTCTTGCCGTAGTGTTTGCATGCATACATTGAAGTGACATCTGCTGACTCAGGCAGTTCGAAAGGCCAGGATCAACGCCACCCATCGTAGCGGAATGAATCTGGAAAAAATCAACTCGGCTGGAATGGATATAACATGACAAAATTGTAAAATCCCGCTTGGAATAGCGGTCAAATAAGTCTAGCCATCCACGCGAATAGTGGTCAATAAAAGCATTGGTGACGCAGAGGTCATCTTATACCTGTCGAATCAAAGGTCAAAAAACCGATATCACCCCAAAGCATACCCAATGACAAGGAAAACCAACTACATAAATCAATGTTGATAAGGAAAGATGGGGTTATTGTAAGAGCAGTTTCATAATATCTTACCCCTATTCAAGTGAAGTTCAAACATTTTCCTTATTGATAGTGGGAATAAACATCTATGTAAGGTATTAATGAATGAATATAGACATTACTGTTTTCAAAAACAGTTTCTTTCATTTATTTGAGTCTTGGGGCCACGAAACAACAATATAAATGGTCTAATAAAAGAAGAAATATTACAAACATTTCATAAAACACTATTCATCATAAATAAGCATACAGAATATCGGTGATGAATTGATGGAATTTTATATTGACAATCGCGAGAGGAAGAGATTAACTAACCTGAGACAAAGGTTGTATCATTCTATCCCTATAATTGTTAGTATTCATATGTTGAGGTTGCATGGGAATGGCCTGTTGCATTGGATATAGGGGTTGATTACGAGGAGGAAACATTTGAAATTGCTGTGCCCCACGGGGGAACTGAGGAGCACTGCCACCACCAGAGAGAAGATAATTCAAGTCGGGTCGAGATTGAACAATTTTTATACAAGCTAAATGGAGGAAGGTAATGTATTTAAACCTCACAAAATGACTTACCATCCTGGAAAACCCTTTCGACATTGAGACCGTACGTGGAACACGTCTCGTAGTAAGGACACTTGTTTAAGCTATTTGCTAGCCTTCTAGCTTTCGCATCGTCGATAACACGAGGGTTAGCATCCGAAGTTGAATCTTGAGTTCCAACTAGGATGATAGGTAAATCATGCGTCTCTCGATAAGTGTCAAGACGCTCGAAATAGTCACAAACAACTCGAAAACTCTCTTCACTGTCAAGACTGAAAACAAAAACAGCACCATCAATCCAACGACTGAACTGTTCATCCGGAGCACCCCCTTCATCGCGTATTAAAAGCAAGTAACTCATTCCATCCAAAACAACTTCTTTCTTAAATCTTCCGCCCTCTGGAGACTCATCTTTTAGGTATGTGCCGGTGAGATATCGATGAACTAAAGCTGATTTGCCACTGTTAACAGCTCCCAATAGTCCCTAGAAGCATAGTTAATAAAGAAGAAAGCATACCAATTTTATCTGAGGAACAGTGTGACCTAGGGTCCATTCCTGACTATTTACAAAAGCATCTATGATTTTTCTGTTTATTTCAGTAAGATATACTTGCCTTCTACACTGGCAACCTGCCGCCGAAACATTTCAGCTTGACGGCGATCGGTAAGGGATTCGATGAGATCATACATGGCATATATTGCGGGATGCACACTCTCGAATCGTGCAATTTCTAGTTTAATATCATTAGAATTTATATCTTCTCCTCCTTCAGGCCCGGGAATCGAAGGCATTATTAAAAATTATTTATCCAAAAAGGTACAAGAAATATTTCATAATATGCGCGGCAAAAAATGAGGTGCTTCTGTTCAAGTCAGACGCCAGGTGACAAAAAATTTATCAATATCAAAGATTATTAGAATTGTTTTATTAAAAACTGGATTCTTTATCTTATTTTATTTTATGGATATTATAAGGATAATGCACAGTGCTTAAAAACACATTGTTAAGGAATCAATGGTAAAAGCATTTTAAGGAAGTGGGATAAAAAAGCTAAGAGTTTTGTACTATATCATTTTTCGTGGAAAATCCGAAATTCACCACACGACCTTAGATTCTAACGGCTCCTTCCCAAAATTGGGTGTTTAGAATATTCACCATGACAGATATGAAATTATTTCTTCTTACACGCTATAATGGATAGAGAGATAAATAATATATCGCAGAGAGTTTCAATACCACAATCCAAATCAAGCTCGTATTACAATATTATCACTTTTTTCTCTCCAAGACAGTGATAATGGTATGAAAGATCAGTTTTGCTGATAATCAATACTGGAAGAAGCTTAGAAAATATTGCCTGACTTAAGATAAGAAATTTCTGATTTGCTAAAATATGACAAAACCGATAATAAATCACCTCCTGTTTATCCAAGACTATTTTATTAACTTTTAACTTTCAATAATTTCGTCGTGTATCCCTTTTGACTTTAAAGACTGCACTTATTAATTGCTCTTTGAAGTACACTTTTGAAAGTTTTTAATATGAGCCTTAACTTATTCTCATCCAACTGCCATAACTGTTGAACATGGAACGCTTCTCATCATGCATTTTATCCCTCAATATTTACTTAGATAAAATGGCAGGCTTTATGATAGTTATCACTAGCCCTTTATTTGACTTTGGGAGAAACGTCAAAGTCACAAATAGTCAAGAGTGGGAACAAAAGAGTGATTAAAAATTGCAAAATAGAAAAAGGTAAGACCAGATGAGTACTGTTTAAGTGGTCGAACATGCCATACGGTGGGGTCATAGTAATTTGAAAGCATCTTACAATTAATAGATATGCTTGCGTTTGAGACTACGTTGCACAGGGTGCAACACATGGAGGTAAGTCTACGCGTACCCCATATCACTTAACATTGTAATTGATAGTTCTTTTCTACTTAAAGGTACATTTTCCACCTTTTTCCGTCCACATCAGCAATTGTATACACACAAAATTCCGGGGTCGTCCAAGGCCGACGTAATCACAAAACGCCATAGAGACAGGCACTTTTCCAGCGAACTCCTGGACTCTCTTTTCGAAAATCAAAGAACTTATCATGTTTTATTAGGATGATGAGTTCAAAATTTAGATTAATATTTATTAAATTTAACCGATCGTAATATAAAGGCAGTATAACAATCTGAGAACATAAACCACAAAATAATTCATCCGTTAAGAACCCTTTCCCATGAACCCACCAGGGGTCATTCCAAAATTTTCGATGAGCAAAAGATTCATAAAACACTTCGCTATCAAAGCCCTCTTTCGTAATTTATTCCAGGAATAGGAATTTTTAAAATTCAACAATTATACAGAGGTAAGATGAAATTCCTTGTAAGAACCATGAATAAATGATTGTCACAAGACAAAGTAGTGGTATATTTATTTAATAACAACATAACGTTTTGCCGTCTAATATATATGTGTGCCTTATATCATGAGCTTTATGTAATTAAATTTGCAATTTAACACAACGTAATCTTATTACAGAAAAGCGGAACTCGTTCAATAAATAAATAAAAAAATAAAAACTTTATTTTTCAATTGAAGTAGAGTTAAATAAGTAAAGACCTCCCTCAATGTATTTTGGAAAATATGACCAAAAGTTCAACCAATGAACTCTCGGTATTTCCTACGTATTATGAGTGATTTGGGCTATGATGATTTTTCTGATTTCGAGAAAAATAAACTCGTTGAAGTGAATAAAGTTGCAGATGTGAGAAAATGTTCAAAAGTATTATTTTTAACCTATTTTTTTGCGGTTTAATTAGAGTAAACTTGTAGTATATTTAATTACTTTGTCGATTCAATTATATATTTTTTTGAATTTACTGGTTAGCTGTTTATTTACTAGATGGGGTTGTGTATTTGCCATATGGTCTGGCAACTGAAATGAATAATCTTGTTTTAGGCGATGAAAATGGAGGAGGATCGCCATTTATTTAGGTAATGTGTAATATCAAATTGCTTTATAAAATTATTTATTTGTACGAATTTCTCCATATGCCAGTGTTGGTCTTGACTTTGTGATATCTTATGCTTTACTTTCATTACTTGGTTAATTCAAAGTGTCTGATTTCATTCCCCTATTTTGATGCTCAATATTGAAAGTCCTATTGTTTTTCTTTTCTTATATTTATTGTTATCTATTTCAAAGCACTTAAAGTTACTTATTTTGCTTTTCAAGAAAAAATATGGAAGGGCAACTTCTTAAGTTTACAAACATGATGAAGGGATTTCAATATCGCTGGGTGATTGTCAACTCCCGTCTTGGTGTCGTTGAATACTATGAAGCGAGTTGAATTCAACCTTCCCTTCCATATTTGATTTAATTTTTAAATAACTGTTAAGTTAATATTTTAGAGAGAAGAACACAAGAACTCCTCTAAGCCCCGAGCTTCTCTTAGTCTTGTGGTATGATTGTTTTGATTAGCATTCATCGAGAAAATTAATTTCTATCCCCTTCAAAATCTGTTTCTATTTTTTAGTATGCAACAGTTTGTCCCTCAGATGAAGATTCCCAAACATTCGTTGTAAATACTTCTCAGGGTGAAAACATTCGCCTCAAAGGTTACCACTAATCTACTACATTTCTTATGCAAATAACATATTGTTTGAACGGGCTTGTTTTTTCCTGCTACGTTAGGCACCCTTATTACTGAATATGCACTAAAAAACATACGTTTACACATCCACTTATCTCTTGCAATTAAGGCCGCTGTTTTTTTACAGTAACACTGTTTTATCACTTTTAAATTCCTGGATAGTTTGTGCATTGTTGAATTGAATGGTCGTTGGGACGTTGCATCGTCTGATAGTACTTGCAAGTATGTTAAGCGAACTAAATAAACCGTCTTATGTTTCTTATTTGACGATAAAACAAATAAAAAGTTCTCAGTAAAGATCCCCCACAAATTCTGTAATTTTTAAAACCTCTTGAAGTTTAATGCCGTACTTCAATGAGCTAAATCAAGGCCTTGCTGCTTCCTTTCTTCTTTTACCTTATGTTGTTTCGATTTTCCATTTACTAGTCCTTTCGGAAGCTCAAAGCTCTAAAATTTGGACTATTTGGACTACAAATCGATGTTTGGTAGTTAAATTCTGTAGATGATGCAATCCTAGTCTGGTACTACATCATTATGATCATATAAGATAGATCGAAGATGCTATCGGGTCTAAATTGCCGAGTTTGATTTGAATTTGCCGTTAGAAATAATTCTTTCCTTTTCGGATTCTTTTGTTCAGACTTAAAGATCTGCTTTTTTGAACCGAATACCGTTGAATTAAAAAGAACCTCTTTTATGCCATTGATTTTTATCTTAATGTTTTATTGATGGAGTATTTCGATATGGCTTCTCTATACTTGGTACTGTCCCTTTCCCCAAAATCGCAACCCTTTTTTGAGTTATCAATATCATTTGGTTGTAATAAGATTTCAGGTTCTTCTATATCATGTTAATTATCACGAAAACGAGTTCACATTAGCGGTTCAATATTCATTACGTTAATGCGCATTTGATCAGCTGGTCATTATAGGTGATTATTTTACTGTGTTATATCATTTTTTATAAAGCTGCCAACGCAAGGGAACGCCAACTCTGGGTGAACCATATTCGTGCGGTGGCCGAATACCACACAGAAAGAGCTAACGAACAGGCCAGTGTTAGTTGATTGTCCATTACATTGTTTGATGGATTGAGAATACAAACCGTTCTAACACCTAGGTACTTTACATCTTTTAGATTTCAGCTCTTTCTTCTCTTCAAAGGCCATCATTACTCCCTGTAAGAGAAAATCGGCCAGCTATGCTTAATTCTTCTAATTCCGGTGCGTATATTATTCTTGAATTAATAGAATACTAACTCATTTGGATTCGTGCTTGATATTGCAATTCGCTCATCGAAACGTTTGAGTTGTTTTGTCGTTAGTACAGATAATTCACAAAAAGTCTACTGGATCTGTTAATACCTTTGGTTAATTGATTCCGATTGGCGCTTTTATTGTCCCATCATAACAGAGTGTCAAAATGTATCCCATATCCTGAGTCGGAGTAGATGCGTCTTTATTATAAAGCAACTGATAATTTATAAGTTTCTTTCATGTTTAACTATGAATGTTATTCTCATTGATCTATTCTGATGATTTATATTTAAATAGTTTGTGATTGTTGATCGTTTCGAGTTTCCGTTTAGCTGCCTTCTAGTTGTTTGTTAGTACACAATAGATCTTCATCTTCTATGACTCCGGCTACTAATTCATATAAGTAGCAATAACCTGTTTTATGCCATTTTAGATCAATCCTTCAGAACACACCGCTCCGGTGGTAATAGGGCTGGTCGCAGTACTGACAGAAGGTGAGTCTGAGGATTACTTTTAAACAGATCACATATTCACATGCTATTCCCGATGAAGGTCATTTGTAACACTCCACATGTATGCATATATATACACACTACTTGCGTTTGAGCATCAAATCATTTAAACTAAATGCATGTATATGTGTCCTCGCTGCTTGGGTTACCTTTTCACTACCCCTTTGTGCTCTGCATCGGCTCCTACAAATAAGAGTGCTGAAAAAAGCTGCAGTATCAAACCATGGGCTATTGGAAGTTTATTTGCTGCTTTGGGTCGTTTTCTTTGTAGCTCTGAGGCCACCACGAATGCTTCCAATGCTGAATCATCGACTTTTGTGGATCCTTATCAGCAGCTCAATGAGCTCTTCCGTCTCCTAGAATGGGAGGGTAACTTACTGGGTCGGGAAATTGATGTAGGTTTTACCCCCACTTGCCTTACTTAAACTTGCATTTTTGTTAGCCAACTTTCAATCCTATTTTAGCATAAATTTGAATTGTGACTTTTTTATTTCCTAAAATTCGCCACGTCTAGAGGATGGGGCGTGTTTACTCTCCAGGAAATGCTAAAGTTAATTGTTTATTTTCCTTCGCGTCTGACATCTGTCGATTAATATTTTATGATCCATTAATATAATTAGGTCTGCACAATATATTAATTTATATGATTATGTCTCAAATGGTAGTCAGTTTTTTTAATATGCTGTAATTGTTAGTATCTATGGCGATACTTTTTTTAAGATGTTTTAAGATTAACGGTGCCTAAAAGAGTTCAAGGGAAATTAATTGTGGTATGGAGGAAATATTTTGAAAAAAGTGGTTCTGTTTGATAAAACAACTCTTACAAGTTGGTCTTTGAATTTGGCGAAATGTCATTGCCTGCCTCTCTCTCATCTCCTCTTCTATTATAATAAGCTGCATATTAGACAAGATATTTGTTTCTTATTAGAGCATAAACTATTCCCTTGTGACTCTTTGAACTCCGTTCAAAATTGCAATTTTTTATTGTCTTATACAACTGTTCAAACAGGAAACTGCTCTTAATTGAATAGGCAATGGGCTCTGAAATAGGCGAGTAGCAAAGCCAGAATATCTGAAGTTCTACTTTACTTGAATTTGAGAGCAGTACTGAATTGGTCGTATCTTCAAAAAAATGAGGAGTTTCCTTTATAATAGGGTAATGCTCGAAAAGATACATAGCACGACGTCAAGGGGTCTTATTTCATTTGAATTTTGGATCCAGCTTGTACAAGATGGACAGTTCGCGTTCTGAACTTCGAATTTCATAAATTGCCCCCTGGTTTGCATTAGCATTAACATGGCAGAGATGAGACCGTTTAATATTTTAAGTTTGATGTACTCCGTAGTCTGAATTTACTCAATGTGATTCATTTTTCAATATTCGCGCTACAGTGGTAGAAATGCTGAAGTAGGCTTTAACTCTTCATTGAGAAGGAACTTGCTTCCCTAAAGTTATGGAACACAAAGTACTCATGACATTAATGCCATACACTAAGGTAAAATTATTTATTATACTTCTTAATAATTAGATGAGAGTGGCAAAGAATAGTTCACTCAGTAATGAAGGATAGAGATCAGATAGAGAATTAAGTCAGGACATCGTAAGGGTTCGAATCCATCAGGATGTCATCTTCTAACTTAATAGATGTACTTCACTACCTTACGTTTCGATTGGTCAATGGTCTACCATACTAGAAGCTTATTGACTAAGTGATTAAGCTGATTGTTTGGTAATGGTACCTCGATAGGTGTTCCTATTGGTATTAGGTTAGATATTAAGACTTTCAAAGAAGTTATGCTGAAGAGAGTACTCAAATTTGCGTTTATGGTAGCTTTCATGTTCGAAAGCAACATGAGCTCAACATAAGTCAACACGCTGACTACCATTGAAATTACCGCAGCTACAATGTTAGCAGTAACTTTTCTCATATGAAAATTGAAATTATTTATTCCGATATATGTGCTTGAGTCCATTGGAATTTTCCTTTCTCTTCAGGACTTATACAACCAGCCCACTGCCGCATTCCCCAATAAAAGTCCTGAGATGACTGAACTTTATCGGGTATGTCTAATTTCCAACGCGATTATATGATATCCTCGCCCACATCATGTATCTGCAGGGGGATAATTTATATTTAATGCTCTTACACCTAAATAATGTGCAACTAAAACCTTACTAGACTAATGACCTTAAGTTTGGAAACCGTATGTGACTGATATTAAAAAATTATCGATTTACTTAATCTCGGCAAATAGGCAAGAATAAAGGCGAAGAAACGGTCTTTTTCTCTGCTGATGGACCAGTGTCTTTTTTTGTATGAAAGAGTGTACACATTGAGTACATTATGCTACTTTTGCCAAAATAAGTTTTCTTTTAAAACACCTTCCCCTAAAGGGTACTTGGAGGTTATCGTAAGGAGATGGTTGTAAATGGTTATTGAAACCACTTTTCACACCTATATTTACTTTATTGAATCTCGAATCATATTTTTGCTTTCTGCTGACGACCCCGTTTTCTCTCTCTGTAATTGCCATAAGCCAGAAGCATTTCCTTCAATGCTTGTAATTCTAATAAAAATTGTTGTATAAGCTAGTACAGGAGAGGAGAAGGACGTTCCTCCACCCCTACCCCAACTAAGTTTGATTTGTGTCCTGTTTATTACTCAACAGAGCTTTTATTTTTCTACTTATAGGAGACAGTTGTTTGAGTCATCCATTATTCTCCTAAGTATGTCAGCATTGAGAATAGCTTGAATCATCCAGTAAAATAGGATGAGCATTTGTTGTAGTAACAACAGCTAATTTTGTGATATATAGCAATCTTTGTTTATATATATATATATTATGAAAGTTGTTTTACTGAAATTAGCTGAAAGTGAAATTCTCATTGTCACAGATTTTCCCAAGGCAAGCCACCGTATTACTATTTCAGTGCTATTCTGCCGATAAGTTTGATTGGCTTGGCATAGAGGAGTCACAGGGCTGTCGAAATATCTGAACAGTCAGTAACAGTTAATGCCTTAAATTTCGGAGGAAAGACCAAAACCAAATCCGGCAGATTTCTTAGTTTCCTCTCTCTATTTGCTCCTCAATATCTGTCTCAGGCTATGTCTCTGGGAAACATTTTCCTCAGTAATATTTGAATGTGATTACCTCTTTGTTGTTCACACTGTAAAAATGCTAATGAGTTTGCTATGGGAACCGTGTTCGAAGGTGCTTCCCTATTGGCCGACGAAGTTACTAGCTCAGCTTACTCATTGGGTTGCATTATTGTTTCAGTTTCGTTACGCTAATGGAGAACCCAGATCATTTTTATTGGAATTTTTTACTGAACTATTGGTTCACTCACTGCCAGCTCTTCCTTTCTCTACAACTACGTCTCTCTCACTCTTGACCTGATTATTGGAGTTACTGAAGCTTTAAATAAAGTCTTTCCGCAAAACTATAAGCCAATGTGGATCAGATACGGTATTATTAAGATATCTTCTCTACCTTTACTCACACGTTCATGTCAGCATAATACTATTATTGTGATGTTCACATTACATGAATACTGATGTTTACCTAACTACTAATAACTGACGGTTGTTTATTGCGTATGCAGGATCCACAGTGCAACATAACCACCTCATTTATCCTTTTAGAACCTCCTCATCATAAAAGCAACGAGTCAAGCTTCCATCAAGTCACTGAAGCAATGTCTTGGTGCTCTTCAGCGTGATAACACCAGCAACAGTAGTAACAGCACAATCCCTGTAACTACCGAGGTCAAACCTGGTGCTGTAAATCCTTCAGCTTGTGCTACTGCACCCAACCATAACGCCACTTCCTCATCACTTGAAATGGGTTCTTCCTAGATATGTGCATTCCTTCACTCCCCTATCGTTAATTTCCTATTCTGCTCATTCCTCATCCAATCTCCCTTGTTATCCTCACCGCTTTACTTCCATCTCGTGATGATATCGTGATTTTTTATTTTATCTGCTCTTGATGCAGATGAGGAGAGCGAGATATATATCGGATTGAACTCTCTTTCTGTGTCTATGTCTATCCTGTACAAGGAATATATATCTATGCATATGTATCAGTCATTACACCTGGTTCCCCAGTACTTCTCTCATTTTATAAATAGTTTTGTCGTGTTGCTACCTTTAATCGTCTTTTGTTTGCAATTAATCATTGTAATACAGAAAGGAGAATTTTTTAGAGGGAACGGAATGAGTATTAGCTACCTTACGGTTAAAAGGAGCGTGGGAAATAGCCTTTACATTCCGTTTCTTTTTCGAATACATCTTGAATTATTTGCAACGCCAAGAGTTTAACTCAATAGAATTAAATAAAGTGAAGAATGGCTGTATTGTCAGGACACAACGGCATCCGAGATACTTTATGGTGTAGAAACTACGTAATATTCTTTTGAGCTGTAGGAAATCTATGTGAACGCAGTTCGAAGATAATGCGTCTAGGTGCGTAAATGCACTCTAGAGAAGTTTCGTTTTTGATATAAAGAATGCCTGCTTTCCATAGAATAAAAAAAGGATTAGAAACCTTCAAACGCGTTGGTGTCCATAACACTGTTTAATTTTGAGGCGAAGTAGAGCGAGGGTTTAACTTAGTCCAGCAATCATGGTTCTAACTTAAATTCAAGTAGCGGGTCTGACTCAACTTGCCTTAACGTCAATTTCAAATGGTTTTTAACGACTTCCTTTTTCCGAGTACATATTTTCTAGTAGATGGGGAACTGGATTATGGCTTCTACATCATTTGTGTGGTACAGTGTAAACCACAAATTAGAAAAAATGAAATTGTCGATGAAAAAGAGGAGTACAATCGTGTCAGTTTGACCAATATTAGATTTTGAGTTATAAATTTCCCATTACCATCAAATTGGTTTGTGAAATTAATGCAAACATGCCTTCAAATAACACATCGATTAAACAGTCTCTTAAAATAAGAAAATTTAACAACTAAGAGTGCTAATCTAATTCCATATTGGTTACAACTCAGGATAGAGGGAGGCCTTGAATCGGGGACATTTCCATCTCCTTTTGTTCTGGTGAATAAATACCAAAAGGAATGCATTTCACTGCCCAACTCTATCCCAAATAAGCGTTGAAATCAAATTGAATTAGTTCGTTGAAACTGTGCTTTAATAAGGTTGACTTAGAATCAGATCAGATGATGTAGAAATGTAACATTAACAAGTTATTCCATGTTGTTTCAAGCGGTGAGTATATGTTATGAGGTTATATAACCAAAAAGTAACCTGTTGATGATAAAAAACAACGATAGGTTAAATTTAGATTAACTAATTGAAGAGTTGTAAATTTTCTGACAACACAACCTCATTTAAGGAAACGTTTAAGTAAATAATCGCTGGCGTAATAATTGTATTCAACGAGCATTAATATAAGTGAACAGTTGTAGGGTACACATTGGCAATTAAATAGCTATTAGTCAACCTTGATTTACGAGTTAAATCAATTAATGGCGTCACACTATTAATATAACAAATATTATAGTAGGCAAACGAAATGCCTTTTACAGGAAATGATATTTTAGAATGAGGTGCACCCTGGGCAACGTACACTCATACGGCAAAAAAGTCGGTGCACCCTGGGCAACGTACACTCATACGGCAAAAAAGTCATAAACCGGCAGTTAACTTCTCCCTTCAAACTACCATCACCCCACTGTATGTCATATTCGATTACTTCCACAGTACTCACCTCACCTTTTACTCTACCTCTGTGTTTGTCTCCTTTACACCTTTGAAACACTCTTCTGCTCCCCCCCCCCCCCCCCCCACCCTCTTAACTTTTTGTGCCATTGATGTTCATCCCCTCTGTAAAGCTTGAAGTCAACTAAAGGGCTAATGATAACTATCAAAACGTCTGCCATTTAATATCAATAAATAAGTTTGTGGAGTGGATCACGTATGAGCATCCATTTTAATTTTTCAAACTTCTTTTTTCTTTCTTTCAATATATCAGCCGACTAAGTTTGATTTTTGAAAGATTTGCACTCTTAAGGAGTTCATTTCATTATACCAATAGGGAATCATTGGGGGTAGCGTTAGTACTTTAAATTTATGGGAGCTTATGGGTGACATAAACTCCCTACTGGATTAGATTAACATTTTTAATCTAATTGCCTCCATTGGGGACAAAATTTGTTCATTTGGTCGCGGTTAATCCCGGCCAGCTGTATTAGAATAATTCCCAGTAGTTTAGCGGAATATTATATATGGTAGAATGGGGTGTGCGATAGACTTACCTCCACCTGGTTCAGCCTGGGCAGCGTATACTCATATGGCAAAAAAGTCTATTAACTGGCAGTTGACTTCAGACTCCAAACTACCATCACCCCACTGTATGTCAAATTCGACTACTTCAACCGTACTCACCTCACCTTTTTTTCCAACTTTGTGTCTGTCTCTTTTACATCTTTGAAACATTCTTCTACCCCCCCCCCCCATCTCGACCTTTTTCACTTTGATTTCCCTCTCATCTGTGAAGCCTGAAGTCAACTAAAGAGTTAATGATAACTATCAAAACGCTTGCCATTTGATATAAATAAATATATGGTAGAACTACTTTTATAAGTAAATAACGCTATTATTTAATTACAATCTAAGCATGCATATGCAGAAACTTTGGGAGATTAAGTATAAGTTGGCTGAAGATATGAAACACCACTTAACTGAAGTTTTTGGGGGGGAACAACTTTAGCATGATAAAGCAGTGGCCTCTCGACAATTCAATGACCAATCAACGATCAAAGCCAGTACGTGGTTATCATGCTAGAAAGACTATATTTTGACTAGTTCCCCGGCCATTAATGACTACCAAATAAACGTATTCCATGTGATACGTCTATTTCCTCTACGGCTTAGCAGCAGCTTAGCTAATTCTGGGAGAAAGTGCCATAGAGATTACCGAGTATAGTCAAGGCTTGTTAGTGTAACAATCCGCTACAAGTTCAACAGATTTTTGTTTGTATGCGAATTTCCCTACATCTACACTAATTAGTGCGCATGGTGTAGCTCTGAAAGCCAAAAGTTGGTTTATTGCAAGTATGTTCTTTAAAATTATTCCAATAACTGATTTGTCATCATTAATAACCAAACTGAGCCACTTACGAATATGAACAAGTACTTTTGAGTACAAAGATCTGACAATAAGAAACAGGAACCCATAATAGCAAATGTAATGAAATATTCGCTCCTTTGATTCGTTATATAATGTTAACAGAAGATACCTTTTTTATTCACACTTCTTGTTGTGGTTAATGTAGTAGATCAATTAAGTAGGAACACATCTCTACCAATAGCATTGTTTGTGCATTAAAAGTCCGCCCAAATTTTAGACACGCATTCAATCTGCACACTTTTCAGGGTCAACTTTTTGGCAGTAAACAAATAAGTATGTTTTTTCCTTGTCTATGAATGGCCGATTTTAAGATATTTATGATCTCTCGGACGGGGTGTGCGATAGACTTTCCTCCACGTGGTTCAGCCTGGGCAACGTATACTCATACGGCAAAATAGTCTATCAAGCGGTAGTTGACTTCTCACTTCAAACTACCATCACCGCACTGTATGTCATATTCTACCATTTCCACAGTACCGATTCTACCTTTTCTCTGCCTTTGTGTCTGTCTCTTTTACATCTTTGAAGCACTCTTCCGTTCCTCACCCCTCGACTTCCTGTTACTTTGATGTTCCTTCCCCTGAGAAGACCAAAATCAACTAAAGGGCTAATGATAAATATCAAAACACCTGCCGTTTGAAATAAATAAATAAATAATCTCTCTGAAAATCTCAAGTACTTTGAGGAAATATGCGTTAATTGCAATTAATAAGCGAATTGTTGCAGACTGAAGTAATGCGCGCGTGTGTGTGCATGCATTGAAATCAACTCATGTAAATATTGGCGGAAATTGTATAATGTCAGTCTCTATGACAATGGATATAATTTTCTATAAGAAAATTGAAATTTTAAACTTGCCTTTTTTACTGTTTAGGATGACTAATTTCGAGGACACGTGTTGGTTAAATGAATTTTTAATTTTACCCTTAGGTTGGCAACTAAATCATTGTCGATTTCAAATAAGAA